AGTACCATTTCTAACATTGTTTCTGGAATAGCTTCCCATGGTTATCACAATGGGGGACCCTCTTTCCCTCTCCCACAGTTCTCACTAACTGACTAAACCAAGAGTACAGCCCCTGGACTTGGAATAAAAAGAGATTGGCCATCAAGGGAAGGGGTAGAAAGAAAGCTGAATCATCAGATGGCAAAACATTTCTATCAAAATCTACCCTTACCTCAATCCCTGGATGAGTAACAGTGGACTCTTGTTACTGTGAAGCTCATAGCCCTCATTAAGCTATCCACCTGCTCATGTCTGTACTAATGTTCTTACCACAAAGCACAGCTCAACTTCTACATAACTATGCATGAAGAACACATGGTCGCCTTTTAACAAGAAACTGACACGCAAAAACAGAAACTAATGAGGCAGCTGACTTCCAAGGTTTTCAGAGGTATCATCTAAGCCAGAAGAAAGGAACCCTTTCTTTGAACACATGACTAGAAGGAAACATATTATGTAGTACTGTGTACAGACATACCAGCTTCTTCCACCAATGCAGGATGACTGTTGTTGTATAGCTACCAGGTCTGTTTTCATCCTGTTCTATATTCTTGAATGTAAGACTCTACAATAGACACCCAAAAGATGAAAAGTCAGTTTAGTTTCCAAGATGTTGCAAGATTTGCCTCTATGGATCATGGGCCATCTGCAACCCAAAGTTTGTTATTGCGCAGATTAAAGAGACATTTCTGTAATATATGAACTTTGAGAAAAAAGCTGCCTGGGCAACAAAGCATACCAGGTCCTTTACTCTTCAGAATTAACCAACCTTCTAAACCCACATATCCCTCCTGCAAAGACCTATATAGGAGTTCACAAAAACAACCAAGATATGCCACACGAGGCAGATTTTTGGATATGACCAATATGGAAATTTGTTTTACTTGATTATGTATATTTGTCAAAAGAATTTTGTTTGGACTAGTCCAAAGGTATTTGATGATGGTTTAGATGCTACTCCTATTTTACTCCTCAATTAATCATTCCATTTTTGTAATCAAGCCTTGGGGCTGTTTAGGAAAGGAGCTCTTTTGCATATAGGGTGGGGAGAAATTGCTATATATCCATTAAAATTGATTTTGATTTTATAGCTTTTCTTTACAATAAAACTGCACTATAATTTTTCAGTGATGGGGGAAGATAGGAGGGAGAGAAAATAAGTGCCTATAAATTGAAAAAAAATTTAGTTTTAGAAAAACAATTATTTTATGCTTTGGGAACAAGAATAAAATTTCTTCATTTTGATACAAGTTCTCTGCCTTACTATGGGGGGTAGTTCAGACAGTGACCTCAAACCAACAACCCTAGAGGATATTTCTTATGAAGACAGTTCCAAAAACTAAAATTCCATTCCAATGATACTTAATGAAGGACTAGTCCAAAAGTATTTAATGCCATTTTGCTGCTGCCACTATTTTATTCTTTAATTAATCATTCCATTTTTGCACTTGAGCCCTGAGGCAGTTCAGGGGATGAGTTATTTTACATATTGAGGGGGGGGAATCACTACAGCTCCATTAAAAATTGATTTTGATTTCATAGGTCTTCCTTAGAATAGAACTATGCTACAGTGTTCTCAAAAGAAGAAAAAAAGCCTTAAATATAGTAAATTACTTGATGATTTTAGGAAAATCAGCAGGTATTAATTTGTGGAGGATGTTTCCTTACTAAAGCCCATGCTGTATAAAAAAGTCAGCCCTTGCCTTCCAGTGTCCTTCAGACCATTTGTACTCAGATTTCAATAGTCTTGTTACACACCACTGTGAAATCCCTGTGTCCCCAAAGTATTTTCTGTGTCAAATACAATTTCCCTCTTGGAATGTGTTCATTACTCAACACATCAGCTTAAAAGATGCAAATAAAATGTTCTAATTTTCAGAAAGGTGAAATGTCAGACATATTTATACAGGGCAGAAAAATTTTCTGAAAGAAAGATATATCTGAAAAGCACGATTGATAAAGTACATGCTATAAAGCATGCTATTGCTGGAGTAGGCTGAACTACATTCTTGTTTAAAATGCACTCTGAGACATAAAGATAGCAAAAGGCCTAAACCTCAGACATAGAGCCAGAGGAAAAAAAATAGCATCAATTATCATGGAGAGAAAAATAGGGCACAGTATGTCAGTATCATGAGTAGAAATCTGTTCAGCCCTATCCTTTGGCTCTGTTTCCTGGAGGAAACTAGAGGACCATGGGCTACAGTTAAAAGTAGCATTTTTGGTTGTTTTTTGTTTTTTTAATAAATAGGGTGTGGTGGGGAGAGATATAAGACTGTTCCTACTATAATACCCTTGGGTAAAGAAATCAAGAGTAGTCAGAGCTTCTAACCACATTAAAGAAAAGATCCTGGAAACAAATTATATCTATTCCACGTTTTACAGCATTTTAAGTAAGACTTTGGGAGGTAGATGAGGGGCCAAATCCCATGGAGCCTGACATCATGGCAACCATTTCTCTGGAGGAGCTTTTGAAGTACCTGTTTCCTAGCCATATTGACCATATAGAGAAGGGATAGCAGGCTATTGGCCTGATTCAAAGCAGTGATTTGTACATAGCAGGTAATTAATATTTATTTAATTCATTTTCAGGTATGACAGTTTTGGCTTAGAAGGAAATTTGGCTCTCCAATAACCACCCCTTCCCGCTTAATAAATCTTATTACCTTATCACATTAGTTTTTTTTCTTTTCTTTCCAAATGCAACATAAGCTACTATAGCTGAAAACCCCTTGAAGTACTTTGTAAACCTTAATGTGCTATAAAATGTGAGTTACTGTTACTAATAGTAGTATTGTTATTAATAGTAATACAACTAAACCCAAACCAACAAAGATTCACTGAATGGAGCAGGAATGCTGTTAACCAGCAGAAAACTGTTCAGCTTAAAAAAGGAGAAAAACAAAACTTCAGTATTTAAGCTGCCCAAAGGTATGAGTGCTCTGTTTTGCCCTTAACACTCAGAAGTCTCTAGAGTCAACTCCTCTTAAGGACAAGGCTACGGCAACAAATCTGCCATGAAACCCCAAGAGATTGGGGGAGGGGAATAAAAGAATACCATTTGATTGTCTTGTTTTCTTGGTTTCTTTTGTGTCAAAGACAAAACAGGCAATGGAAGCAAGAAAAAATGGAGATATGTATACTGAGCTTAAGTCTTTCATTACCCCTTTCAAAATTGCATGTGCTCTTTTCAGGAAAAGCAAGTTATCACAAATGTCCCCACTCCAGAAAGCAATACAATCAAATAAGACTACTTGGTCATTCTTTTCAATTAAATGTAATAAGTATTGTTAAGAGGGTGGGGTTCATTTGAAGGCAAGCAGACACCACCAAGACAGCCTGGCCATTGGAAGTTGGCATGGATAATCTTGACTTGCACCTTACATTTGGGAAACCTGTGGAACCCTTTGGAACCATCACAGCTAAGGATGCCAAAGTAGGCAGACCCAGGGAACCTGGTTCTGGAGCTCATCCAGTGTCCACACTGGACCTTAGCGCCTTAGGGCCCTAACGCTGCTGCACCATTATTAGGGTGTAACACCCCATGAAGAGGTACTGAGAAGTGCAGCCGGGAGGTCTATGGGGAGTTTGTGGAGAAAAGAATGTGCATCTGAGTAGATTCACTACGAACCAACTATGCTGTCCTCAGATTTCTTTCCCATACTGTATATGCAACACAGCTCCCGTCCACTCCCAATTTTGGAGACCACCTTGAGAATAAGCACCCCAAGGAGACTCCCAGCACTTAGCACTGAACCAGACGGCGTCTGCCTCAAAGCTAAGTGAAGATTGTCTCTCCAGAGGCTACGGGGATCTATCTATTCAGTCCCCCAACCTTCAAGAGCCCTATGGATGCACTGTAATTCTGGCTGGCGGCGCTACTCTATCTGAACCCAGACCTCCTCTTCCTTCTCACTCCCCAGCCCCCTACCCAGGACAATAAATTAAAAGAAAAAAAAACATAGGCAGCAATTTTCAACTTCTTTTCCGGGTCCAAGGACCTGTCAATCCCTATCAGGAGGTCTAAACTGGCCTCTCCTCCTCCTTGCCTCTTCAGCATTTATTCTAAAGTTAACAACACTTCCTTCCCTCTCACTGGCTTCCTATACACAGTTTCAACGACTATTAGTATTGTTATCTTCGTCATTAAGCAGCAGGGATTGCCAGAGCTGTATAGACCTTTTTCCTTTGGACACCCTAGGATTTTCCCTCCAAGACGAGTTGACTGACTGAATCACCTACCCCTCCTGCCCTTTCCAGAAGAAAGTGAGGACCCTCAGGGTGCCCCAGAGCCCTCTAACTGAGCTCAGGGGAAATAAGCTAGGGGTACAGAGGTAGGTCGTGGCCACTAGAGCAAAGTGCGCAGCTGCCCGAACCGCCCCGTCCCCAGGCACCTGGCTTTCCCAGACTCGGATTTGATTTCTCGGTTGGAGTTACCCAAATTACCTTGTCTGAGTCAGCTGAGGTCTCCCCGAGCTCCCTAAGCGCTGCCCATAGTTCCAAGGGCGCGCCTCCTCTATAAGTCGGAGGTGAAATGAGAGCCCCCTGGGGTGCTGGCGGGACCGCCCGTGAGCTCGCGCCAAAGACAGGGAAAAAGTTCAGAGTCCAAGCGGGCGGCGGCAGCTCCTCCAAACCCTGGTGAGCGCGCGCGTGCCCGTCCACGCCCGCCGTAACCAACCGGCTCCCATGGAGAGAAGCTGCCAGGGACTTGAGGCGTGGAAAGGCCAGTTTTCCCTTCCCAGGCTGCGCGTTTAGGTGGTGCTCTCCAGTCCAGCTGCCCTCCTTACCCAAGTGGGACCCCGGTAGCAAGGGAGCACAGGGTGGGGCAACGACTCAGTCTGGACTCACCTGGGGCGTTGGCTCCTGCTGCTTTTCTTGCCTCCCCCTTACACATCTTTGGGCCCCCAAGACCACCTCCCCGGGGCCGCCACCCTCTCCCTCATCCCCTGGGCCAGACTCACCATCAGCCGTAGCCAGCACAGGGGGGCACGTGCTTTTCCTCTCACGCCGGCTGCAACTTCGAGGGCAGGTCAGCCCTGGAGGTTCCCGGCCCCGGTCCTGGTGAGGCAACCGGGGCCCCGCTCCTACCCCCTTCTCTACCCACTCTCCAAAAGGCCGATTGGACTAAGCGCAGCTCGCTGACTTGTCGCTCAGTTCTGGCTGGGGAGCTGCGGAGCGCACAGCCCCTGGGCTTGGGGTCGCGGTCCTGATCCCAGTCCGAGATCCCAGGTGCCCAAGCCTCTCTGTATCCCGGGGCGCACAATCTCCTCCTTCGCCTCTTTTTCTTCTACTCTGCCCTGCCCGGTTCAGGAGAGGGAGGTTTCTTCCACCGGATGTGGGGTGCACCTCTGTCTCTTCCAGATGTGGGGCAGAGTGCTTTCTATCTCTCCTTCTCTCGTTCCCAGTCCTTCCCTTGGTGCTGCTACCTCTTACGCTGCTTATGGGGACCGGCAGAGCGCCTCCCCTATCCCAGCTATGAGCTTAGCCCTAGGGGTTCCGAGGTTGAGGGATTCCCCCAGCCCCTCCTGTTCCCTTCTTGGGGCTCGGGCTTCCCCTTCCCGAGTCAGACCCAGCTTTGCAGCAGCAGCTACTGCTGCTGCTCGGACCGCTTCAGAGCGGCAGCGGCTCTAGCGGCGACTCCACCGGCCCGAGCTGGAGGTGGCGGCGTAGGCTTCGACAGGGACAGAAAGGAGGTGACCTTCAAACCCTGCGCCCGGGGTTTGGGGGGGGGAGGAGTAAAGGAGGGAATGGGGGTGGGGGGGCTACGCGCGCCCCACTGTGCTCGAACAGCTGCTCCGGCAGCTCTAGTGTAGGGAGGCGGGAGAGGGTGCAGAGGCGATTAAAAGAAAGAGGAGAGCGCGACAGAAAGAGAAAAGAAAGAGGTAGGGAGCAGCCTAGGCAGCTAGAGCCAAAAATAATCGACATGAGGGAGCCCCCCCCACATACACACACGCCGCCGCCGCGGTCACGCGTGCAGCCCCAGATTTGGGGACAGCGGCGGCTGCCAGAGCTGCAAGGTTTCTCTCCACACTCCTGGTTGTGGTCCTTCGTTGCCTTCCCACCAGGTTAGGGCCGAGGGGATGGGATGATCCACCTGCCCACTCCCAGCGGCCCCATACTCTTCCTCCACCCTCTCCAAGGAACCTCCTCTCCGGGCGTTTACCCTAGCCAAAAATAAAAATAAAACACGAAACTTAGGAGCAACCAGAGTCGGGGGTGGGAGGAGGGGATGGGAAGAGAGATGGTAAAAGAAGGCGAATCTGGTTTTCTTTCTAGGGAGAACACTCGGAGAAAGTTTCATGGTGAATTAGTTTAAGGAGTTCTGAGCCTAGCAAACCTCACAGAGACAGTTCTTGGGAAATTTGGAATGGGAGGAGTGGTGTAGCTGGGACTATAGTTAGGCTCTCGTTTCCCCTACTCTGGATAGAATCCAGGTGTAGGGCATGAGGACGAGGACCACACCAGTAGATATTTGTCTTTTCAGTGTTTCAATGCCTCCCAGGCCTCCATCTCTCTTATCCAGACGGATTGAAGGAATGTTGCTTCCCTGGAGATCTCTAAGTCCCCCCCTTTTTTTTTTACGTTACAAAATTACTTTTTGTTTTATCCCTCTTATTCTCACTGACCTAAATCTGTTACAGTTCAAGGGCTAGAAGGTGAATAGAAACAAGACACTGTGGATTCTGGTAAGAAAAGATAGCACAAGATCCCCAGAAGTTTCAAAGCTGCCAACCCTTAGTTAGCACAGTTCACTGAATGAATGAATGAATGAATGAATGAATGAATGAATGAATGAATGAATGAATGAATGAATGAATGAATTCGGAGGTTCACCATGGGCAAACAACCAAAAAAAAAAATTAGAACAACACTGAGATGCAGCAAAGCAGAAGACCTGGGTTTGAGTTCTGTGTCTGACACGAAATTGCATTACCCTTTGCACGTCATTAGACTCTCTCAAAGACTATAAGCTGCACAGAAAGTAATAACTTGCATTGGTAACAATAATAATAGTAAAGCTAGCATTTATATAGAACTGCACATATATTATCTCATTTGTTTCTCATAACAACACTGTAAGGCAGGTGCTATTATTATCCTCATTTGACTGATAAGTAAGCTAAGTCTCAGAGAGGCTGAATGACTTGCCTAGAATCACACATCTAGTGTCTTAAATTCAAATCTTCCCAGCTCCTAGCTCTCTTAACTATGGTTAAGAGAGGTCCCCAACTCCTAGCACTCTTAACTATTTCTTCACTCTGGAGAACTCTGTGCTAATGAATTCATAGGTCCAAGTACTATTCTTGTCCCTAACAATAATATATCTTTATAGACTGCTTTAAGGTTTAAAAAGCACTTCATACCCACTGTCTAAATCTGGCTGTAGGCTGCAAAGATGGAAGAAATATGGGTAAACAAAGGACAAAGGGACAGGACAAACTACTCTCTTAGTACTTTGTAAATGCTATCTGCTTGTCTGAGAAGCTTCTGATGCCTAGCTCATCAGTGACAGGCTACAACCATCTCTCATTTCTCACTAAACAGCACTCTAGCCTTCTACAAGGCCTCGTTCTTCATCCTGAAGCCTCACTCTGGCATGCAACTCAAATGCTGAAAGCACACTGTATTCCTGAGGACTCTCTCTCTGACTGTATGGCTCATCCAAGAAACTCCATTTAAGAAGGGTGCCCACACCAGTTTTTTCTTATTACTCTCTAGGCTATACTCCAGACTTTCTCTATCATGACCCCAAGCAGCAAAGGGCCATACCTTTCCTCTCACCTTCTTTCCTTTTCAGCTTCCTTCTATGTGTAGTTTTCCTCCATCCGAATGTAAGCTCCTTGAGGTCTGGAACTGTCTCCTCCCCCCATCTGTTTGTATTCTTAGTGCTTAGCACAATGTCTAGCACATAGTACTTGTTAACTGACTGACTGAAGACCATCATAGCCAAAATACTGCCAAGTTTGATGCTATTAACATTTTTAGAAAGGGTACCCAATGACTTCAGAGGTAAAAGAAACTGATTCAGATTCCTACCCACATAACATAGATCTGGGAGCACAGAAGGTGCTTAATAAATGCTTAATGACTGGCTACCACCAAATAGCTTTGTAATCTTAAGCTTGTGACTTTAAACTCTATGGACTTCAGTTATACTCTATTGTTCTATGACTCTGTGATATGGTTTGTACTCTAGTTGAGCATACGAGGAATTTCTTTCTGCAACAAGTCAGCCTTTCCTTTGTATTTCTTAGTAACACCTAACTAAAGAGAGGTAAGCATATAGAGAGTGCTTATTAAAGACTAATTGACCAAGGTTTTCTTTCACTTGAAAAAAAATAAAGTCAAACTTACTCAAGATCAGAGATGTTTGAAAAAAATCATTTTGCTAACATTTGAGGAGAGAAGGTTGCAAAATGTAGAAAGATATCTATATCACCAAACCCAGTAGATGTTTTCACAATATGGATCTTTTTTTTTACACCATATGCTTCCTTCAGACTCCTTACAATAATAATATATCCGTATGTAAACAACTTCTTTCTCTTTAAAATACTGTCTTATCCTTCAGTGATAGCACAATGAAGCCATAAATCTGGGTTACTAACATCATAATCATTTCCACAGAAACTGTTTACAATGGAAAAACCACAGAATTTAAATGTAATTGTCTAGTCATGCAGGGAGATGAGATGGGTTGTAAAAGAGGTATTCTCAATTTAAAAGCAAATTATCAATAATGAGAGAAGAAATAAATGGCAGTTAATGGGAAGTTCCGTGGAAACATAATGTTTTGAGCAAATTCACCAACAGGAATTCTTTATTTGTAGCCCTTATTTTTTTTCTGAAGAAAAAAGGAATCCCAGCATTCAAGGCAGATACTTCTTCTGTCATTTCAGTAAGTGAGTGATCCTTTGGTGGTGGGCTTCACAATTTTTTCCCATTCAAAATAAAATCAAATGTATTCAACTATTTCAAAATCAAGGCTAGTGTCAGGTTTTATTTATCTTTGGAGCAAAAAAGGCTTAGAAATCACAGTAATGGACCTCTACATATGACTCAGAGCATTTTTATTGCTACAAGTTTGTGTGGATTGGTAAGCTAAATGAGGGTGAATGAGATATTCATTACAATATAAGGTGAAATTAAAATGAAAATCAGTATCAGATATTATTTCTTATTCCTTATGAAGATTTCTAGTTCTATTTTTAAAAAAAGATCTTTGGAACTCCATGTAATGTTCTCTGATTTCTTTCTTTTCTTTTTCTTTTTTTTTTTGGTGAGGGGTTGTTTTTAGCAACTAGAAAATAAATTGAAAGGTGCTGAAGTGGACAGCTCCAGGACCAGGCTGATGGGCCAAAGATAATACCGTACTGTATTTATACAAAACACAAAAGATTTTATCTTTCCCTACTAGCATGGGGGAAAAAATATGCAACTCATTCTGTTACACTGGGTCAAAATGGCATATATCCAGAGCCCTGGTGGAATCCTCTTGCTAACTTCCTCTCATTTTTTGTTATGTGTATTGCTGGTATAATGAGAATCTAACATTCCGTTCAGTCCTGGGTGAATTGGCAGCTCACTAGAATGGCCAACTTATAATATATATTGGTTAGATTAGAAAAGATCTACCACCACATTCACCAATCAATTACACTGCCATGTGAATTAAATTATGCTCAGATTTCATTAATGTCAGCAATACCAGAATTTTAGATCTTGATAGTATCTTTAAAGAAGAGATTAATAATGTCCAGTAGACCAGAATAAAAGCCTAGAAAACTAATTGGGTATATGGGAAAATCCAAATATATTCTCAGTTTTATTTGCTTTTTTGTGTGTGTTAATAAATTAGACTGTATTGGAGTAGAAAGATTTGAAAAAAACTAGAAGATCCAGATCTTCTACTTCATTCCAAAGCTATCATATCACTGAAGCAACATTCACTATAAATAAAATCACTGAAATGCACAATCTAAATGAATTGAGAATGAAGCATGGTTTAGTGAATCTAGGAGACTACAATCACTGGGTTCTGTCTCTGCTGTACTGCTAACTAGCTATGTAATTTTGGGGAAATTGTAGAAACTCTCATTTTCTTCATCTCTAAAGTTAGGTGGTTAGACTAAATGATCAATAAGGTCTCTTTTAACTCAATCATTGTATGATTCAACAGACTTCTAAGTATCATGTAAGACTAAGACTGTTCTCAAATGCTCATCCTTGAAAATAAAAAAGGTCATGTGATAGTTCTCTTAGTATCCCCAGGGCTTAGAAAATGTTTATTGAATTGAATTGTATTTTGCCTGACTGCAAGCCAAACTAATAAAGTAATTTAAAAGTGCTAAGCTATTTGAGATCAGTGTTTATGTCTTATAATTCTTTATATCCACTTATGTATTTGGTGCAGTGGTTTGCACATTGTATGCACCCTATATACTTCTTGATTTTTGGAATATTAATCATTTGATTATTATGTAGTTCAGGAATTTCACAGTAACTAGGATTTTTTGAACTTTTACTGTATGATCCTTCTTTTCCATGGACAAGGTCAGTTTTGAGAAGAATAAGATCCAGATTTGCTTGTACAGATTTAAGAATGTCTGTGATATTAAAAACTTCCTTTTCTCCTGGAGCTTATTCTC